GTAGACGATGTACTGTGTGTCGTAGTACCCCAGATCGAGATGCGCTGGCGCAACGGGACCCGACGAAGGTGCCGTAGCAGGCGGGACTCAGGGACTCAGCTGCCGGGAGGAGACCGGCGACAAGGCCGAAGTCAAGCTCCGCCGCCACACTTTCTTTGAGAATCGGCGGCACCGAAGCCCCTTCAGAGGCAACCTGCTGGACCATGGCGATGACAGAAGGAATTCTACCAGCAGGACCTGCGCCTCCCATCCAAGGCGTTGCTTTAGCCGAAGCCTCCGTCAAAACCATAGCACTTTAACGCTAGTCCTAGACAGCCAAGCCAGAAAGCCACTTGTGGCTCACCCAATCAAGTTCCTAAGTGACAGCAGGGATAGGCGGAGCGCGACTCGTCGGGGAAGGATGATAGTATCAAGAATGTAAGTGGTTAGTATTATAGCCAATAAGGTGAAGTCTAGAAATTACTATGATCTAGTATGACATAGTAAGATGCTATTAAATTGAACACAGTAGATGTAGGCGGCTGTGGAAGCTTCTAGAGGCTTCCATCCGCCTGAACTGTGGGGCGACACTTTCCCTTTTGCGCGCTCTCCCCCAAAGCCGCTTCCTTTTGAAATACAGAGACCAAATATCATGTGATGTTTTCCATAGTAATCATTGTATTTTCGATTATAAATAGCAATAGTAACTCGTTTTTTCAAAAGCTAACATTTTTGTTTTAATATTAGCTTGGCGTTTTGAAAATATTAGATACAAGATGATCTTTTATGATACTCCTTCCAATTAAGTACATTTCTTGCCTTGTGAACCGAAGGATCACCAAATAACTCTTTCGGTCTGGTTCTAGAACAGCAGTAGGCTTTAAGACTGACGAGTTTTTGCTCTAGTATTTCATTGTGAAACAGATGAAGGCGATCAAGAAGGAAAACTGCAAGCGCTTGCAGTTGTTTAATGTCGATAAAGCAAAATTAAGGTATATGTTCTTGCTCTCTATCGATAGCCTCGTTCACATCGTGCGTCTAATAAGCCTGCAGCCTGAAACGCTAAATTAATGCGCTCAGCAGTGCCAACACACGACGCCAACCTTGCCGTCACTCTCACAATTGTCATATCCCTCACGGTTGATTAGTAATACTTCAAGTCGAACGTTAATGACATCTGGTTGGTGGATTTATACCGATTACGCGATCTTTTAAAAATATAATATCGTATTAGCTAATAATTAAATTGATATTTGAGAAAATCAAATTGTCTCAGAAGAAAGTATCATGTAATATTTTTAAATTAACTGGTCTACAGGTGATATTTTCGATTTTGGAGTTACCGCATCGCCCCTGTAACCTTCGATTATGGCCAATGGAAGCGCTTTATATATAACAGATGGCTGCACGTTAATGTGTCCTTCCGCGAGCTAATTATAGGCAGCTGTCTGATTGGGGTGGATAAAGAGGCAATTGGAAGAGCGACGGTATACAAATAGCTAGATCTATTCGACCGAAGCGCTATTTAACAGCTCTCATCAGCGGACCAATTTGAAATTAATGGATGCAGGTCATTCACGAGCCGAGCATTCAACAGGACCAGCTTGGGTAATTTTTTACTTTTTAGCAGTGCTGGCAGTGGAAAGATACGACGTCTTTACAATGGACATGTTTAAACAGTGTCTAAAGTGTCCATTGTCTTCTGAAGGAACAAACAGACGTCTGTTCAAAAGGTACCGAGTACCATTGACTACTGTCAGCGACCGAATAGTGGACTCTACGTGCAGACGCAGGTAAAAAATCAGAGCGGTTCATTACAAGCAATTAACCGATTATTGGACTCTGCCCGATTAAACGTCTTAATAAATTTAAGTCAAAACCGCACCCGTAATTACCCGTAGGTGTCTTTTGAGTGTCTGTAAAAAGGGGAATAGACGTTCGGTAAAAAATGTTTAAACAAACGGACGTCTTAAACGTCCTTTGAACAGACGTCTTTACCAGCACTGCTTTTTTAGCACTAATTGTGAGATTTGCTAGTACGTAAACATCGATCATGGGCTTAGGACACGGGCGATGCGGCACCATCAAAGGGGAATATTTGGCATGTGACTTACACAGTATAGTTTGTTTATTCACAGATGTAGGTAATCCCCTTGTGTTGGTGGATACTGTTCCTACCAGCACATACAACAGTAAATGAATAGCCACGATTGATGCATTCCTGCCGACACTCGTTTCGTACCACTTCGCTTGGTCACGTTTAGTCACAGATGATGACAGTAGGTAAACAACCAGGACTAAACCAAAACGAAAAAGTAACCACAGCTTTGAAAAAATCCCAACGCTACGTGATACATTAGAACTAAATTTGCACGCGAGTCACCACCAAGAATCCATGAATCTCAGCCGTTTCGCTCCAAGCCCGTCAAGCGACAGTCTCATTAGCACTTTGCGTCCACGAGCAGCTGTCAGAAGACTTCACTCCAACATAACGGGGCCCATGACGCCTTTTAAGACCGCAGTGAATGCATACGTCGCGTCTGAGGGGACTGACAACTCATATGTCGTACGTCCTCGGTTGTACAACGATAAGCGAGCCCAAAGCGACGGCTCAAATGCGCTGTTGTCTAGCATTGGTCCGAGCGGTACGACGAAGAGGCCACGTGACGAGATGGACTGTTTTACGGACACGCACAAACATAAGCGAGGGGATGGCAACAAGTCCCGTCGAAGAGAGCAATGTCGGGCGAACCAGGCGCGATACCGAGATAAGCAGAGGAACGCCCAGCAGCAGCTTGAGCGGAGTGTCGAGCAGCTGCAGAGCGAGTTGAGTACTCTGAAGCATCGAAATTTAGACTTGGCATCTCGTCAGAGGACCAACCAGAGCCCGTGGAATACTGTGGCCGAGGTCTTTCGACTTCTTGGTGTTTGTTTCCGCTCACCTTGGCGGGTGACATGCGTTCAGGAGATGAGAAACCACTCTGAGATGCGCCAGATTTTGGCTATTCTCGAGCGATCATTTACCCATGACGTGGCGATGGGAGATCTGCGAGGTATTGACGCATTGATGGAGCAGCTGCTGCAGTTCTCGCAATACTAGCTCCAGCGAATTAAGTCTGTGGCTCCTGGAGTCATGGCTGCACGAGCAACGCTCAGCTTGATAGTGACAGAGCTCACGCTACGTCACGCGTTTCCTCATTTGGCAGTGGCGACCGGGAGCTTTAGAGATAACAGTACCCAGCTATTCCAGCGTCTTCTGGGTCAGCGTCTCGAGTGCAACTGCTCACTCAATTTCCTATTTGATGAACATAGTGATCGCGTTGTGCGTCTACAGATCAACCTCGACTTGACGACGTCTCGGTATCAGGTGCTGGGTAGTCTCGAGGACGTATCGAAAGTTCTCAAGAATGCTCGAGTTTCGTCAGAGTGTGTCATAGGAAATATTGTTCATGGCAGCTAAAAGTATCAGTAACCCCGAACAATTTAATAGCTACTGCATTTCTTACCAAAAATACTTTAAATTTAGTAATATAACTCAAATATTCCATTGTACTACGTAGGAGATAATATATATATGCATTTACCTGCGTAAGGCACATACATGTAGTACATGTAGCACATTTAGTGCTCAGTTCTCCCTATCGAGATATCGGGTTGGTTTACATGTAGCTTAAGTCTACGTACTACTACAGTAGTACGTAGAGGAACTAGAAACCTTGCACTGAGCTCCCAGAGCTAAGAACCGGTTCCAATCTTGCAAAATGGAAGTTTTTTTTTCTTAGAATTGACGTAAAGCACTTTGAATGGACCACGCCCAGCTCTTTACGATTAATCACGCCTTGGCTCGATGAATGCAGCAAAATGAAGACGCGCTGTCTTCTCGTTGTAGTATGCGGTGTATCGATTTACAATCGCATCATCCAAATGGCTAGCAGAAGCCACATCTACATCGAGGAATCGTGTGTAAATATTTTGTGGCTCTGTTTTGCTCCGGAACCATCGCTTAAAAAGCAACATCTCGAACTCAGCCCCAACAGAGACGAGGGACTTCGTGTTGCGAAAGCCTATCGTCTCAATTGCACCAAAGACCACACGTGCAAAATTGCCTTCACCACCATAGCCATTGCTTAGCACCGTGAGAGTGTCGGTTTTGTAGCTGGGATAGACGATGTTGACTTTCTTGATATACTCGTCGAATAAATGCAGCTTCAAGCTCGTCGTGGCTACGAATTCATTCCTTTTCGGAATATTAAGCCGCATGAAAACAGTGTCGGCAGAAACCTTATTTTTCAACCACATTTCCATTGGTTGCTTCTGGAGCTCTACAGCCAGCACTTTCGTTGCACCTTGCGACCTCGCTTGGAGTATCTCCGCCACGTCACCATCCCCAAAATGCCTGGAAAACGTTTCGATCAACGAAGTCTTTCTGCTGGGACTCCTTGAATTATACAACGAGATGAAATTTGCCAATGTGTGGTAGTTTTGGTGAACTAGAGCATGATCCATCGACTGGTCTAGTCTGAGAGTCTTCAACACATCCACAGGCTCTAATTTGCTCGCAAGCCAGTTGTTTAACAGGGCGTTCTCCAAAGTCACCGCCAACTCGCTCGTCCTAGAATTTTTCTTCGCATGAAGTAGCAGATTTGCTATGTTGGCTTCTCCACCGAAGCCTTTTGTCAAGGTCTGGAGCAAAGTTACGTGCCCTGTTTTCTTACGATTGAACAGATTGATGTAGTCCTCCAACACCTCCATTTTCGGACTAGCAAGAGCGCCGTATCCGTACTTCTCTAGTTTTAACAGCGTGAACACATCGTCGACAGATCGATCACTTTTTAGCCATCCCGACAGCTGAGCATTCCGCAATTGCCGAATAGTGTCCAAGCCCTCCTCCGTCTTAATCGTCCTTTGCACAGTCACGAGTGTCTCCGCCACGGCATCGTCCCCATAGTGCGCCGAAAATACACCAATCACGGACTTTTGTTTATGCCGATTCACGCTTGTTAGATAGCGCTCCATAGCCTTTACACCAGAGCCCCGCTCAAGCCCTTTTCAAGCCTGAACATCGTGAGAATATCCGTCGCACTTTGATCGATTAAAAGCCAGGACCGCCAGTCCACATTTTCACCAAGCTTTAACACCCCCGCCTTGATGAGCCCGGTCAGTTTTTCGATTCCAGCGTTGATCACTCTGTCTTCATTCTGCTTCGTAGAACCCCTCAAAAGTCGTTTCGCTGAGAAATATTCTGGCGTGTCCGTCAGCACCTGGGGCAAGTTTAAGCCCGTCGTTTTCGAGAGGACAGGCATAGAAGCACCATCGATACATGCCGACAAAATCGAAACACCAGAACCCAACGCAGTCAGGAACCGGTACAGCCACATGGATACTTGGTTTGTCAGTAAATTGAAGAGTGGGAAACAGTTGGCAGAGTTGCTGGTGAGACAAGTGTAGGCAGCAAAATTTGATACTAGAAATAGTACATCCAAAAGTACATGTATTTTAGATTCAGAAGTTTAAAACGATCAGCAGTAATGCTCGTACTACGGTATCCTGGAAAAATGAAAAAAAAAAAAAACTCAAGATGCAGCGTTCCATTTCTATGCATTTAAAGTTTCTGTTTATTGCCAACTATTCTATTGGTAGTTGATTGTCTTACTGAGTAAATGCACAGTAACGTAGGACCTCGGTCGTTCTGTAGAGGCGCTGAGCGCTCGATGGGTGTCGTCTTCAGCCACTAGCTAAGGAGAGGTTGTCCTTGCCCTTGGTGTCATTCTTGTGCACGAAGGGTGATTGAAAGGCGCAAAAAGAAAATAATCTCTCAGAACATAGCTGTTTATGTAACAATATGTAATATCTAAAGTTCACCAAACAGCAGTTAGATTTGACTTTATAAAATAAGACAAAATATCAAAACCAAATTTCGTTTTGTAAAGGAAAACCATGTATTTGTTACTGTAACTAATCAGACTAAACAATTGGTCCCAGGGACTCATCAAGTGAGTGCTGTTCATCATCACGCGCACAGGTCCTGCGCCACAGGACTTACAAATTAATGAGCATCCTTCAGATAGTAACATTGGTTTTGATATTCTTAGTAGCGATCCACCCAAGACAAAATGCTTAGAAAGCTTTTGCCTCCTGCAAGTTTTAATCGATGAAATCTGCCTCTCCTCCGTCTGCTTTGCAGATTGGATCCATATCAAAAGAAATAATAAAAAAAGGGGATGGCACCCCTTTTAAATAAACCGATACCTCTCGGTGAAGGAGGCAAACTCGGATATCGGCGATAAGTCGAAGAACAAGTAGCATAAAACTGAATTTGTGCAAGAAAAGTAGTATATGGGCGTTTGGGTGAGAGGCTGTGTAAGCCAGCGTTGAACTATGTAGCGTAGACAACTCAAGTGGCAGGTGTAGGGAATAAATTGCCAATGGATGTGATCGCATTTGCTAAGTTTAAGTGGATGGGGCTTTAGCGTGTCAGCTTGCACCAAGTCGTTTATGATGGGGATCTCTCCACGACTACAATCGCAGCAACGGTAGAGTAGAATCTGATGATGTAGAGTAGAAGCCATCGGTTGTCGCACGACGTACAATCACCAGTACAAGTCCTGTCATAAGTAGCAATTATTAGTGCATCCATTTATTTCTCCTTGTGCAGTGATCATGCTTGTGAACGGCCAGCCACACGACCGTTCCGGTACTACCACTACCTGTAGTAGTAGTAGCTGCTGTTGCTGTTGAAGTGTAGTACCAGTAGTAGTAGTTTCTGTTGGAGGTTACGGAAACGGCTACTACCCAAATTACTACTCGTCAAATGACAACGGTTTTGGCTACTATCCCGACTACTACTCGTCACACGATGCTGGGAAGGAAAATGGAATGAATACTATCCGGATTATTACTCCTCCTACGGCTATCCCAGTAGCTGTACCAGTTGTGCTCATGGCCAGTGAATACGCTTTCTGGAGCGAAACACATTGCTGATCATTCCGAGGAGAAGTGAGGCCTTGCTTCGGACATGGAGCTGCCGATAATTCTATTCCAAGACGAATGGTAACATGACCAATGGGACCCATGTCCACCCAATGAGATATTGGTTGTGATGAGGCAGACAGTTCAATGGAACTAGGCCGTGCCTACATCAATAGCCTTACGATCGATAGTGGTTTGCATTTACTCAAGAGGAACAAAATCCACCGAACGTGTAACATGCACGGTGAACGAGGCCTATTTAGTGTTTTGTGGCGGAAAAGCTGAAGCACGCGTGGCGCACCTGGACCAATAAGGTTCTGAAGACTAACCAAGATCTCCCAGCTACCGAAGCAGAGCTGGATACGTATATAGGCATAGAAATGGCCACGAGCTTAGTGCCCATCATCAATATCAATGAGCTCTGGTGTTAAAACATAATTCAAGGCCACCACGTCATCAAGGCAGCGATTAGCAGAAATCTTTTCAAGCAATACGTGGGTCTTTTTAAGATTCATCCTCCTTTCGACGCTGACGAACACATTTCCGAGTCTGAAGATGAACCAGATTCCGATCAACACGATTCCCAACCGGCCTCATCCTCAGTCATTAGCGCGGGACAAAGTGACAATATGGTCGAGCCAGGTAGCGAAGAAACCGGGTGTCTGGATGGTGCTATCAATAATGAGGTGCAACGGCTGGAAGGCCCTAGAGCGGAAGAAATGGCTAAGTGAGACCCCTTTCGCCATAGCCGGCCCTTATTGCAGCATATTCAGCGTAAATTTGTCTTGATAGCTGTGCCAAACGGAGTCAGTAGTTTTGACGGAAACGGCGTGCGGACTAAGGCGCGAACGCTGTCTAAAGAATTTCATGCCGCTGAAACCAGACAAGTTCGCGGTAGGATTATATGTGTCTGTGGACCGGACATCGCTGTAAATTTATTCTCTTTGAGCCAACGGATCGACAATTCCTTACCGACAAGGGCAATTTCTGAACGACAACAGCATCTCAGCGATAAACAGAGTTATCCCTAAAACCGAATAGCACCACTAGCGAATATCCATCGGCGAGATGGTGAACAGGCTGACACTACCGATGCTTCGTCATTGTGACTGGCCATGCTAGGTCACCAAACAATGTTGTTCCTGTCACTTCGTCGCTTGTTCGTGTGCGACAACATCTGCAAGCGCCATAGTTTCGGGAACCTTTCCTAGCGATGGCAGACGGAGAAGCTCGTATTGGTACTGCGCGTCCAGACTGGTTTGGGCATTCAAATGCGGCTGGAGTGCGTGACGCAATTAAACGCGTTACGTCTTGCGAGCGTGAATCATACGAATTGATAGCAGCTTTGGACAGTGTGGGCAATGCGAGTACCTCAAAGAAAGCAAAAGACCCTAATCACAGGCAGAAAAGCTACCAGCCCACCAAGAAGCCGTGTACGTCCCGCAAGTATTGTTTTCGCCATGTACAGGCTTTATTGTCCTCAAATACAAGAATCTTTTTGTTTTCTGCACAAACGGCTTGTCCCAAACTCCGTTCGTGTGCTTGAAGAAAACTGCGACGAGGTGGTGGCTTGCTGCCACGGAGTATTTCCTATTCGACGCTGGACTGGTTCTAAAGTGATGCATTGAACAGTGCTCAACGTTCCTGTCGTCATTGCGGCCAACAAACCTGTTAATGAATAGCGTCGATCGTGTTGACCAGCTTCGAGCGATCTACCCTACCAGACGAGATGAAACTTGGTTGTCGATGCATATCTTCGCATGAGCCATATATTTGACTATATTAAATGTATTTGCGCTGACCAAGCAAATCGACACAAGCTCCGCTTCGCCTCAAACAGTCCGAGAGCTTAAAAGGCGAGTCTGTGAGCAACTAACTTCAGGGAAGCGACTAGTGAAACTATTCAAGGAGATGCAGTCAAAATGCCGAAGAAGCGCGGAAAGGATCAATGATGACTCCGAGCTGCACATTCTTACGCCGAATAGCCGTGATAGCGCAAATGGCAAGTCGTTTTGTTGTTTTGTAATCTTCACGGAATTCAGTCGAAGTTGCGATATGGTTGCACGAAATGTCTTCGTGGCTACCATGTAGCCTGTTTCAACGTGGTTCATTATCGAGTAAGTTTTATGCTAGTACGCCAAGTGTAACTAGTGTTCTGGATGCTATACGCAACACAGCCAACAGACAAGCTCCTGTTAAACGCGACGACGATTGAATAACTCCATTACGTAGTTGGAAAGCTTGCAGGTTCCTCGGCAGCTGGGCCATTTAAGACTCCACTTTTACTGCACTACTGTTATTTCGCTATAAGCATACGTGTACGAGAGCTTTGGTCACCAATCCTGGCCTATTATCACGTAGATTGGGGTTTCCTGTGCTAGGTTCAACTGGATGATATGCTGGAGGCGTGGCTCACTAGTGCTGGTATCGGGTTGGAGGTTTTTAATCTTTCTGGGCCTGCTGCACATATGGAATTGTACTTTCGAGTGATTTGCAAGCGGTAACAGTGTGTTGAGCTTAAATTTTAACCGAGCTGTTTGAGTGGAATCTCGCGCTGTCCAACACCTCCAATGTACACGGGTTCTAGGCTGCACGACCTGCTTTCGCGCACCTTACGTGTGTAGTTCAGCCGGGTTACTGCTAGTGGGCACACACTAACGTTGCGGCTGCGTTTGTACGAATTCGCGACTTCCTTTGGAAAGTGAAATGCAAACACATTGTGTTTAACAACGACTTTTAACGGTCAAAATAATGCGAGGCCTACGAGAGGGATTGAGTTTTTCTATGGCGTCAGAGCGAAGCACTTGGTGTAAACCATCGTTTGCAGCTGAGAGAGCAATATAGTGTGCATTGCCATCGAGCCGACCCTTACATTCGTTTCGTTAAAGTATCAATAGTGATTTGCGCAACCTCTTCGAGAGTGAACGTGTTTCGTTCTCAACGCATCGCGAGCGACAACAGCGGAAGACGATGTCGGGCACTTTCGCTTTAGCGTACACGAATCAAAATTATCATCAAGGCGCTGCACATTAATACGAGAAGTAGACCCGTACCGGGTAGTCAGCAAGGTATGCTGTGATTTGCGCCTGCAACTGCTCGTTCGCGACTCGCTACAAATTATGGCGAATATCAATCGGGCTATCAGTCTCTGTAAAGTCAATCAGAAAGTCTTGAGCATAGCTAGTCTCTCGCGTCACGTAGCTCTCTTGACCAACAATGAAACGGATTTTACGAGCCCCCTCTTAGCGTAGTGACCAAACCCGTGGATGTTGCCGGAACTTTCTGGTGCAATGGCTACGCGGTTTTGCACTTGATGTAGGGGCGCTTCATGGAGACGCGTAAGCTGGCTTAGTCGAGACTCCAGATTGTTTAGCAGCAGCATTGTTATCGGTGGTGCGCGGTGACGAGG